CACAGCAGGCCTGAGTGGAATCAGGGGCTGTGCAGATTGTCCAAGTGCTGATCCAGATGCATTCTCTTGAGGTTTCTCAGTTTTGGCTTAAAAAAAAAAAAAAAACACTTTTTGTGTAAAAAAAAAAAAGTCTTCTGTTCTCTAGATGTTACAGACAAGGCCCGCATCCTTCCACCACCTGAAGAAGATGTACCAAGTCTGGGATCGCGTCTTTAATTCAGACAGAAGACATGTTTTATTGTCGATGGTAGAGACAGCACGAACAACACGGACAACAGAATGCAAGTGTATTATACAGAGCGGAGGCATGGAGACCTCCAATCAGCAGCTGCCACAGTGCCATGTAGCTTGGCCTTCAGATAGACACAACAATGGAAAAGTACTGGCTTCTGCACATTGATAGAATGATGAGTTTATCTTTAACAAAAGTTGCTTCAAAGTGTTATGAAATCTCACATCTACAATGTTCATAGTCATGAAAAAAAATAAAAAATCCAAACTTTTGGTCTGTACTGTACATACATATATCCTTTGATGAGCACTTACACTTTCAACATGTCTTTTGTCCTATTGGATTTATTTAATTGATTTTGACATGACAAGCTATAATCAATCATGATGAAATATTTCTCTGTGTGTGTGTGTGTGTGTGTGTGTGTGTGTGTGTGTGTGTGTGTGTGTGTGTGTGTGTGTGTGTGTGTGTGTGAGTTTGAGCATTTACAAAATCCGGGTCTACAGTGTGCTGACCTGATCCATGCTGCAGACTGTGCAGCTTGGATCAAGTTGTGCTCCCCCTCAACCCTGATTAGCATTTGTATAGCTCACAGCATTCCCATTTACATGTTAAAGCCTCCTGTGGAGGAGGGAGGAGGGGACAACAAACTACCGTCAACAGCCGAATCCCAGAAGTTTCACAGTAATATACAGGGCCGAAAAGAGACGAAAATCACACTTTTCATGCAGTGAACTGCAATGCAAGCTAAAAACCTTAGATAATTCACTACAACTCAGTTATGATGAAGACGTCTCAATTCAGTACGATTTGGTGAAGGAAGAAATCAATGATATTCTTAAACACCATGCAGAGTTCTTAATACATAAAACAAGACAAAAATACTACTTTAATGGCGCCAGGCCTAGCCATCTGCTGGCTCTCAAGCTCAAGGCAAATGAACAATTTTCTGAAATCTCCTCGGTTAAAGATGCCAGTGGTCAGGTTTTGGTCGAGCCAGCTAGCATCAACATGCTTGTAAACTCTTTTTAGAATCCGCCCTCCTTCCCAAGTTGTTAGAAGATGACCGTATTAAACTCGACCGTCCCATCACATTGTCTGAACTTAACGAGGATGTTCAGGACATGCAGAGAGGTAAATTGCCTGGTGCTGACGGGATTCCCCCTGAACTTTATGCAACCTTTTGGGACCAACTTGGTCCTCTGTTATTTGACATGATTCAGTCAGCTCAAAAGACCGGATCTTTCTCGAGACAAGTTAACACCGCAGTCATCTCATTATTACTTAAAAAAGAAGGACCCACAAGAGTGCTCTAGCTATAGGCCACTCTCTCTCCTGAATGCTGATCTGAAGATTTTTGCTAAATTATTAGCCCGCAGACTCCAGCCAATCATGACAAAACTGGTACATTGTGATCAAACCGGTTTTATAAGGTCTAGGAATGCATCTGACAATATGAGAAGGCTACTACATATAATTGATGGCACATCAACGAGCAAATTTCCAGCCGGAGTATTCTCACTTGACGCTATGAAGGCATTTGACAGGCTGAAATGGGATTACCTATGGTCGGTTTTAAAATGTTTTGGTATGGGTCCCAATTTCATCAATATGATCCAGGTCCTTTATAATACCATCAGCAATGGTACTCACGGGCAAGAAGTGCTCTCCACCCTTTCCGGTTGCCAGGGAGTCTAGACAGGGATGCCCGCTTAGCCCACTCCTGTTTGCTCTTTCTCTGGAGCCATTAGCTCAAGTTATCCCGGCTATCGGACAACATCACTCAAATTGAAATTAATAGCACTAAACATCACATTTCCTTATGCAGATGACGTTCTTTTATATGTGGGATATTCGCAATCCATTCCCATTTTGTTATCAATATTCAACAACTTTAGTGACATCTCTGGGTACAAGATTAACTGGGATAAATCGGCCTCCTTACCGCTAAATGAGCCAATGAAAAATTCTTCTCTCCCGTCAAACACCTTAAATATCTGGGTATCCACATCTCCACATCTTTACAATCGACTGTTAAAATAAACTATGAAGGTGCTTTAACTAAAATATTAACTGACCTCGAGCGGTGGTCCGCTCTACCTAATTCCCTACGATCTCGCATCTCAATTGTCAAAATGAACTTGTTACCCCGAATAAACTTTTATAGCTCGATGTTACCGCTCCCTCCCCCAGCCCGTTATTGGGACAAATTACAGAGTGCCATCACCAAATATATTTGGAAGGGCAAACGACCTCGTCTGAAGCTGTCTACGGCGCAACGTAACAGAGCAGCAGGTGGACTGTCACTTCCTAATTTTAAACTATACCACTGGGCTTCTGTACTGCGTCCCTTGCGAGCCTGGTTTGATAGTTTAGTTGATGTAGCATGGCGACCATTGGACAAAGCATTAGGGCATCCCCTGGACCTTTCTGGGGTCTTATTTGCGAACACTCCACCCAATAAGTGCATCCCCTGTTACCTAGCAGTATTAGCACATTGCATTTCAGTCTGGCGATCGGTGGAAAAACTCTGTGGCCACACAATTAAATGGAACCCTCACTCCCCTATCTTTGATAACTCTGTCTTTCTTATCAATAAATGCCCCATTAAACAATCTCAAGGTAAACATTGGCTTGGGAAGGGAATACGCTCGCTTGGTAACATATTTGGTCCCAGAGGCCTCCTCTCTTATGGGGAACTTTCCATTCAGTTTAATTTACAGCAATCTTCTTTTTTCTTCTATTTACAATTAAGAACGGCCATGAAAACATATGGAGTACCATGGCAATCTCTGTTGCAACCTCAACCTCTATTAAAGTTTTTAGATGGCTCGCATGGAATGAAAGGTGTTACTGGCAATCTATATTCCTACTTTCTGAAGCAGACGTATGTGCCGCTGCATTTGGATTCCAGATGGAGGGCTGACATTCCAACTTTTCCAGCAGCCATAAAATGGAATTCTATTTGGGACACTGTGCTCTGTTCTTCCAAAAACCCAGATCACCAGCAAATCCACTTAAATTTTATACATAGGACGTATCTGACACCACGCAGGCTCTTCTCCATGGGATGTAAGCCGGATCCCAACTGCTCACTGTGCCGTGGAAACATGGTTGGGACTTATTTTCACATGGTTTGGGAGTGCCCAGAGGTGGCGCTATTCTGGGAAAGGGTGGCCAGAGACCTGTCCACCCTATTCCCCTGTCCCCAAAGTCCCCTGTTCCCCCACGGTCCTTCTTTTGAATGATTTTATTGCACTGGGGCTTAACAGACCTACCCAAAGGATCTTATTGGCTGGACTTACAGCTGCCAAAAAAATGGTTGCCACCAGGTGGAAGCCTCCTCACTCGACATTGCGTTTCTAGAACTTTCTACGTCTCGTATAAATGGCGCTAAAGAAGGCACAATTGCAATGTGGGTTAGTTTGATAGATAAACTTAAGTCTTTTTCCTTCTGAAAATGGCACTCACCCTGGAGTAGTACAGGTTTTTATGTCTATTTCTGTTTTGTTTTTGTTTTTTGCCAAAGGACCTAAGTGTACGCTCGGGCGTGTCTATATTTTTGGGTCTTGCTTATTATTATTGGTACTGATGATGATGGTAACAAAAATTGTAATAATACTATTATTATTGTTTTTATAGGTGTTGTTTGTTATTTTTATATATGTTTATTGTTAATCATTTTTATTATCACTATATAATTATTTAATGTAAGTATTAGAGGCAAAGTGCAGTGATGTGATGCCGGGAGCAATGTGGTGTCTGGTGGTATTGACTATAATGATGGCATTTTAACAGCCCAGTTACGATTACTTTTGGTAAAGATTAAGCTCTCTCTCCCTCTTAAAGGGCTTTGTAACCAAAGACTTGAAATTCTGAATAAGTATACCCAAGTCTTCCTCTGTCAAACATAATGAGTTCGTATGTAAGTGTATGTGTTTGTGTGTGTGAATGGGTACTTACAGATGTATGTGTGTACAAAATGCAAAGAAAATGCATCCTCACATGCTGTTTTTAATGCACCTCACCCCGTTTTTAATTCACAACATTCACATTCCCATCTCAGAAGGAAAGAATTGGTTACATATAAATTATATAAATTATAGTCCCTTCGGCAAATTTGTCCTGGTTTAAATTTAGTCATGGTAGCCACCACCATTGTTGTCTTCCTTGACATCTACACCCTTTGTGCATTCTCTGAACGGACACGTAAAATCATGATCAAACACACAGACATAAAAACAACTTAAAGAGCATGTGCACACACACACGTTCCCTTTTGTGTCCTGTCAAATGTCCTTTTCTACTTGCACCTTATGTTTATTTGTGCCTTTTTGTATGTCATTATGTTTGTGTCTTTTTTCTGTATTGCTGAATAAAATGTAAAAAAAAAAAGAGTTAATAGACAAGTAAAAGTGAAACTGGACACAGATGTCAGACAAAGTAGGAAAGAAGTGAACAGCTCTATTCATCCTTCAGCCTGTGGATGTGTGACGAGGTAAAAACACAGTTGTGGATGTTCACAACTGTGAACACGGTGAACTAGAAAACAGTTATTATTAGAGTTAAAGTGATCATAGTGGTCCTTTTTACAGTACAATCCTTGTGGGGACCTTTTTACACACTAAATATAATGTTATAAATAAACAGATTTGTACTATCCATGTGGACTTCATACACACATGTCCCTAGACATGTCTTTATGATGATCTTGCAGTAGCAGCACTTGACCACTAGGGTGAACACACTTCTCAGCTTGATACAGGAAATGACAGGTGTGAGCACAGAACTGAGGACAGCAGACTGTAAGAGAGCAGCACACACTGAGAGGATCTGAGCTTTAAGAGTGTGTCCTGTGTCCACTGCTCTCAGCTCTGCTTGTGCTGCTGAGTTCTTCTCCAGAGTGTAACGGACAAGACACAGTGAAGCAGGCAGCAGGAGAGGACCGAGTGAGAGAGGGACACACTCACACACTCACCTGCAACTTTACAACAAGCTCCTCTTATCTAACTCTATTCTGGTACAAGCAGGAAGGACAGGGATCTCTAAAGTACATGATGAAGGTCTATCCCGGAAGCGTCATCAATTCTCCAGAGTTTGATGAATCCAAGTTTGGTGCTGAGCTCGTGGGGAACTGTTTGTCTCTGAAGATGGAGGTTGTGAATGTGACTGACTCTGCTGTGTACTAATGAAGCTTTGCGCAAGTTCACCCTGGTAGACCTGGCCTGCTGCCCAGCTCCTCCAGGCCTGCTCTCATCTTCGGCTCATCGCACAGCAACACCCACTTCCAGTCAACCAATAACCGCCAGGCCAGCAAGTTAAAAGCCGGAGACGCCCAATTCCCGGCCTTCTCAAGCTTTGCATGCGTTGTTCTGGAGAGGTCGCTTTTTGCTCACGTGTTGCTCGTCACGTGTGACCCGGCTGTTCTCAGTCTGGCTGCTTGTGGTCTGCTCCTCTTCCGCGTCCCTGCACCTGCTGCGGATCGCGCGCTGTGGCCCGTGTGTGTCCGCCGCTCTCCTCTTCTGCGGGCTGCTCCGCGGGGTCCCTCCGAGGGCTCGCTGCTGCTAGTCTCGTCGTGTTCTGCTGCTGCGTGCAGGCGGTTTGGCCGGTGCGGAGGTCTGTGCGTGTCCCTGCCTCCGATTGGCGGTGCCACGTCGTTCCGTTGCTTTTCCCTCGTCTTCTGGCGTGCGTTGTGGTGAGTGTGCTGACCTGCGGACGGTTTGTTCCCTGCGTCTGGGCTGCAGGCGGTTGGTTTTTACCCTGCGCACTGGACTGCAGGCGTCAGTTTTTGCCCCGTGCTTTGGTCTGCAGGCTCCGTTTTAACATGTGTTCGCGCTAACTTGCAGCCTCTGCTAACCTGTATCTCGTGCGCGGCCGAGCCTTTCATTGTGGCTCGTGTTTTGGGGAAGAAAGGATATGTTTATTTGATCTCACACAGGAGAGATCAGTACATTTATTCGTATTTATTTGAGGGATAAAGGAGGGGCAATGCATATTAAATGGCATAGTATGGCATGGTCACTAGTATTAAATGATTAGGTAACTAAACTACATCATGTTGCATTTGACGGCGCAGCAGAAAGTAAAAGGGCCCAATGTGAATCTGCAATGAGTGTGAAGTAGAATTGGAGCTAATGAACAGATAGAAAAGGGATCGTTCATGTATATTGGCTATAACCAGAGCAAACCAGCAAGCCCAACTCAAATCCATATTAAATAGATGCAGAGCTGTGCTGAGCTGTCTCGCACCATGCTCTCAGGTTCGCTTCGGCTGTCATGCTTCATCTCTCTGCTAATTCTCTGCTTCTATCAGGTGCAGCTGGCCGAGTGGCCGTGCTGAGCTGTCCTCGCTCCGAGCCGTCAAACTCCTCATCAAGGCCTCCATAACTGTACTCCTCACTTCTGATCGCAGGCTCCCCATCACGCTGCCCATCCTGCAGCTGCTCTGCGCGGCACTGAACTCCGGCTCATTTTCCAAGTACACATCTGCCCTCCTTCGCAGCGTCTTCCTGCTCGCCTTCTACGACTTTCTCCACATAAGCGAGTTCACTACTGCTCACTCAACTTCAATGCGGCCCGAGACACGGCTTTTCCCGACCTGTCCTACTATCCTGATTATTTAATCTCCACCTCAAGAATTCTAAGCGTAAGGGCGCCTGCAACATAATAATAGCCCGCTCCGATACGTCTCTCTGCCCCTACAAGTCCGTGATGCGTTTCTCTCACCTCCGCTGTCGAAAAGGAGATCTTAACGGACCTTTATTTCTCACTCCAGACAACCTTCCCATGACAGCAACCTGGTTCAGAGCTCAGCTAAAATCCCTACTGCTCCTCTGTAATTTGTCTCCCCAGCTCTACACAACCCACTCGTTCAGGACAGGCGCTGCCACGCGCACGGCCTCACTGGGGCTCCCCCATTCCTCTCTGCAACAGCTGGGGCGCTGGTCCTTGTCGGCTCTCTCCGCTACATCAAGCCAGATGAAACTATCATTGCAGCACAGCGACTACTGGCATCCTCATAAGCTCCCAGCAAGCAAAGCAGGCAAGCATAAGCATAAGACTCCTGGTGGCGGCACGCACTCCCCTCAACGCTCTCCCCCTGCTCCTAGTTTGCAGCGTCTGGTTGAACATGATGCACCATGCTGGACTCGCACTCTACTCCCATGTTCTCAGCTCGCTAGGGATAAGATAAGAACATAACACCTGCTCCCAGCTTGCAGCGTCTGGAGAACATGACGCACCCTGCTGCCCCGCGCTCATGTTCTCAGCTCGCTCAGGCCCCGCATCTTTCTGCTCCAAACAGATGCGGGCTCCCATCAGACGCAGCCTAGCTGAGCGACCGTGCGAGAAGCCTCGCACTAATGCTCTCAGGCCTGCGCAGTGCGTCCTGCTATCCCATCGCAGTCCCGCATCTTTGGGGGATTATGCGCGCGAGCAAGCGCCGGGCTCAACATCATCGCTCCGGGGCCTAGGGCGCCAAACATGCTTAATCAAATAAACTTCTAATTGCATTCCCTGTTGTGGGTCTCTCCAGGATGAAATGAAGCTTTGCGCAAGTTCACCCTGGTAGACCTGGCCTGCTGCCCAGCTCCTCCAGGCCTGCTCTCATCCTCGGCTCATCGCACAGCAACACCCACTTCCAGTCAACCAATAACCGCCAGGCCAGCAAGTTAAAAGCCGGAGACGTCCAATTCCCGGCCTTCTCAAGCTTTGCATCCTCCGCCGCCCTACCTCCTCCTTCTCCCATTTCGAGCGTGCTTGCCTGCTGCCTCTGCCGCCACCAGTGCCTAGGCCCAGACTGTAAGAAGGAAGCAGGACTGAGGATGTAGATCTAGGACTGAGGCTTTAGACGCAGGACTTAGGTCAGGCATGTCCAAACTCAGGCCCACGGGCCAATTGCGGCCCTCTGTGCCATGTTATGTTGCCCATCTGCTGCTAACACAAAGTTGCCATTGAGGCACTTTGACATTGTCATCCAGCCAACTTCAGCTCCACCAATGCAGTCACGCTATACCTTGTTGTTAATCTCAGACCCTCTGGAATCCAGTCGTTGACTTTTATTGTCACAACATTCCAAATAAAATGCAACTATGGTGTGAATCCAGTCAATACAGCTCAAATCCAGTTTTATAAATCCAGGTTGTCAGCCCCAGGTCAAGTCTGATGAACTAAAGTGGCCCTCTTGCCAGAAAGTTTGGACACCCCTGACTTAGGCTGAGGCTTTTAACACACTACTGAAGCTTTGGGTCTGGAACTGTGGCTCTAGACGCAGAACTGTGAGGCTCTACATCCAGGACTGAAGAGACTACCAGGGGAGAGAGGGTCCAGTAAGAGGCAGGATTCAGCGGTCTTATAATCACGCCATGAAACAGACAATTGACCACCTTGACACATTAAAGCTGGACTAATTCACATTGTGACTTTGAAGCAGCCTTTTCAAATGTGAGCGCAGCTCTCTTTCTGCTTCCCTGCCCGCACTCACGAAGCTTTCATCCCCCACTACCACCCTCCCACTTGTGTGCTATTGTTTACGGATCTGGATACGTCTCTTGTTTTAGCCCAAAAACAAATGGAAATGTTGCAGGTATTTTTTGTTCCTCATTTGATTGCATGCCCCGTTGATAAAGTAGTCTCGTCGCTTCCCGGGTGCCTCTCTCCCGGGTGCCCCGGTGCCTCTCTCCCGGTCCTTCAAACGCTTGGCCTCTCTCCAATCTTGTAGGGACAAAGACACGTGAAGTTTCAGGTTGGCCTCCGCCACAATGCTCGTTTACCTCAGCTGTCTGTGCGCGTTATTGAGAGACCTGTAGATTTTCTCAAGAAAGTGGGGCCCAGTGGTCCGCTGTGATTGGTCACAATCTGGTCCCAAAATAAATTCTCTTCTGCGTTGCGCGAAAATTCGATCTAAAATAAAATTACACTCCAGTACAAACCTGTGCTACTTATATCCCAATGCAGGGCATGGATATGGATTGAATTTTCAATCCAGCTTTATGAATACCTACAAAAGTGTGTGTGTGTGTGTGTGTACGTGCGTGCGTTCACTTGTTTTCAACTCCGGGTTGGAGTCCATAACCTGAGATTTCACTCACATCATGGGGACTTCTTTTACGTTGTGGGGCTCGAACACCGGACCCCACTGGTTCAAGCTTAAAAATGAATGGGTAATGCTTTTCCAACGGTCTCTATGCAGTCTTTGCAAAAACATGGAAAGGTCCCCTGGAGGTTTACTTTCTTGAAAAAGTGTGTTTTGTGTCTAAACCCTGGTGGTGGCATGCGGCATATCATGGAGGGGCACACAGGGGAAATTTCCGTCCAGCAGGCTGGAGCCAATCATGAAGCAGCACACCTGAGGCTGGAGCCAATCATGAAGCAGCACACCTGAGGCTGAAGCCAATCATGGAGCAGCAGCACAACAGAGGAAGTCAGGTCGTTAGGCTAGAAAAGGTGCAGGTGTGGCCCAACAGGTTGCAGCCAATCACAGAGCAGCACACTGAAGAGCGCGCTTACAAACCCCCGGTAAGTGCTGACTACAAGTTATGATTGCAAATTGTCATATAGTATTATTAATATTATTTGTTGTTTGTGCAGCTTAGTCAAGAGTCCCTTAACAGAAATCACAAAGTCGATTCAGATTCTGACCATTTAACTGTCAAGAAGAAACCTGTAAAAATGTAGGGAAAAAGAAAAGTGAAATACTTTTCTTCAAGACTCAGAAAGTGACGAACCAAAGGCAAATGAGATTGTTATCATGCAGCTGCAAAAGAAGAAAAATGGGGGGAGAGTTTACAGCAAGAGGCACTTCTGCCTCTACTGTTCAATGTCCTGCCACAAAATGTCCCGTCATTTGTCTAGAAAACATGGAAGCACGTAAACTTCAGTTTGATTTGATCAGGAATAGTGGAGACCGTGAGCATAATTATGAGGTTTTAAAGGCCGGCATTGGAAACAGCCAAATTCTCCAGTTAAATCCAGTGACTTTTTGCACTGTATAGACTGTGCTGCATTGCTTAAGGAGCCGCATGCAGCTCTTTAGTGCCCCTCGAGTGGCTCCTGGTAGGTTTAACCGACTTTAAGGAAGCAAATTAACGAACCAAAAATGGCAGGGAAACTGAAAACAATTAAGGATTTCTTTATTCCTTCCAACTTTAACCATGTGATTGATGCAGTCAGGTCTGTGGCTGGATATGATGAGGAAACAAATCAATACAAGACTCCATCCTTGGCCCTCAAACTCGGCCACAGCCTCAGAAAGCAGATATTCTTGAATGTGACTCAAAAATGGAGCATTGTGTTGATGAACTGTTTATTGCTTTTACTTCCGGGATTTACGATTGACATGTCCTTGTAGCCAATGAGGAAAGCTTTCGAACAAGGGGTGGGACAATGGTGTCCTGTCTTATGTTGTGCCTGGACAATTGTGCGTAATGGAAGCCAAAAGACGCTCTCGAAGCTGCAATGAATTTACACTCATAAAAAAATAACTTTGACATTTAAAAAAGAAAAACACACATAGATTAGTAACGTATAAGTACCAATAATGAAAAATATTGTTTTTATGATGATTAAATGTAAGTAAAGATATTTGGCACAATTTGGCACACTTGTGCCAAATTGTGCCAAATGTGCACTACTTGATGAAAAGGAGAAACTGCATAAAAACTATAAAACTTACAAGTCTGAAACTTTAGACAGTTGTTGTCAACAACACAATGAACAGAGGGTTTGAATATTGTGAACTTACAATGAAGTATGCCTTTTTTAGGGCCTTTAGAAATTGAAAATGTTAGGCGAGGCTAAAAAAATTGGGTTTTTTTCCCTAACTTCAAAGGATGCAGAGGAAAATAGGAATGACAAACATTATTTTAGTGTTTTTTTACATAAACTAGAAGGCTCTAGCTTTAAAATGATGCATCACACAAGCATGTGAGATGTAAGATGTGTTTTTAAATAAGCAAAGACATTTGGATATGCCCAACCATTGTGCACGAGCCAAAATGAGGCGGTTGTTAAGAGGCTAAACTGGCAGTTTTGATTCTTTGAGGTCATTATTTTCAATCGAAGAAGGGAAGGTGAGGTTTCAAAGATGCCACTGACAGCGTTTACCTTAAGAAGTAAGACTGGGATCCATTCTGACGTTTCTTTGGGACTGTCCGAAATTGAAAAAAGCTGTGTCAGCATTTTCAACGCATTGAAATTAAAGGGAAAAGAATTCGGAAGGTGCCGGTTCTTTTGACTCCTGAAATGATTGCTTTGATGGAGGTGCTCGTGGAGAACAGAAGGGCTTGTTCCATCTCTGACCATAACCCATACTACTTCTCCCAGCCGGGCGCAGACACCCACATCAGGGGATCAGACTCCCTACGGCAGGTGGCCAAAGAATGTGGTGCGGTGCATCCAGAGATATTGGGCCTCATTCACGAATAACTTCGTAAGAAACTTCTCAAATTTCTTCTCAAGTTGTCCTTAAGTAGATTTCTAAGAAGTCCCTTCGTGGGATTCATCAACGCACTCGTAAGCCGCTGAATTGTTCGCAGCTGTTCTCTTAGATTGATGAATCCCATTTCCTCGTAAGTAGAGCGCGCGTGCCAGGTGCTTCATTAGCATAGGTACTTAGCATAAGTAACCGCCCATTAATGCCCATAAAAGGGACTGCAGGGCCGTATGCAGACCCCACTCAGGAAACTGCCAAAATGCCAAAAGCGAAGAGCATGTCCGTTGGAGCGCAGCCAGTGAAGAGGAAAAAGAACTTCAGCAGTTCAGAACTCGAAGTCCTGCTGCTGGAGGTCACGAGGAGGAAGAAGACTCTATTCAGTAGCCTCAGTGCAGGTTGCACTAATACTAATAAGAAGGAGGCCTGGGAGGCAGTATGGCGTGCGGTGGATGCGGTCTCAGGAGAGGGACGCAGCATAGAGGAGGTCAGGAAGAAGTGGTTCGACCTGAAATCCGAAACAAAAAGACACATAGCCAAACACCGGAGGGAGACGCAACGGACTGGAGGGGGGGCAGCAAACACCATGCCCATGTCTGATCTGGATCAGCGCATTGGGGCCATCATCGGGGAGACGGCACTCTCAGGTAGGCTATGTGAACAATCAAGGTCACTGTATTTAATCATATTAATTAATTAATATTCTCACTTTTCAGGTGTACCATCAACTGAGTCACTGGACACAGATGGCCCAGATGCAACGCGTTCATCCCCTCCCTGTGCCGCTGCCATTCCAGTTGAACCTGAAGGTAAATTGTTTAAATGTTTTGATTCGGGCCTTTTTTCTATTTTTATTTCTATACTTAAAGCGTGTGCCCGGTAAGGGTGGAGTCTACCATAGTGTGTAACCCAAATAAGGCCTTTTTTGGACTGGGGTTGCAACCTTTTTTAGTTTTATTTGTTTATTTATTGTGTTTATTTGAACATCGAATAAATGTATAAGAAAAAAAAGACAGAACAAAACAAAGAAAATAAAGAAAACGTATTCACGTTCAAAAGGAGTAGGCAGAAGCCAAGCTTATTTAATCCTACCCCTCTTCCTTATGTTTTCAATATATACCTTGGCTTGAGTTGTAATTAATTTATGTATTTCCTTTAATCACAGATGAAGTCCCGCAGAGAGACCCCGATCCAGAACCGACAGAGCCCTCCTGTAGCAGATCCACCCGCACTCGTGCCTCTCCACGTCCACGCTTGCTCTCGGACGCGGTTCTTCAGAATCAGGAGAAAATTGCCGAGTCCCTGGAGAAGATTGCGTCCACACTGGGAACCATATCTCAGACGCTCAAAGATTTGCATGAGCAGCTCAAAAATAAATGAAGGTGTGCACTGGAACTGGTCTGTCTTAATATTTGAAGTGAATCACAGTGGACTTATATTCAACGTAATATTTACACTTTATTTACAAACGGGCAATTAACTGCTCTCTAACATGAACTGCAAGCCTGCAGTCTGGTCCCAGCATTGCATCAGGGCGCACATCCTGACGGTGTAGTGGCTGAGGGGGAAGTGGCACACCACGCTTCATCGCCATGTTGTGCAGGACACAGCAGGCCATGATTATCCTACAGACCTGTAATGGTGAGGGAGAGCCATAAAATTAGCTGCAAGGAATTTAAATAAATCTAAACTAGGTGATTCTTGTAATAGGTAAATAAAATAATCAGTTGCCTTACCTTCTCTGGTTTATACAGCAATTTCCCACCTGCTGTGTCCAAACACATCCAGCGTCCCTTCAGTATGCCGATGGTGCGTTCAATGATGGAGCGAGTGCGCGCATGCTTGTCATTATATGACACCTCCTGAGGAGTCTGAGGGTTTGTCAGTGGTGTCATCAGCCAAGGGCCAGGGCATATCCTCGATCGCCTAAAGGAAATGATGAGGAACCTTCAACCAGAAACACCCCATGGTAGTGGCAGTGCCCCTTCTGGTAAGTGTACCAGGTGGGGGGTTACAGCCAGGCTGCTTGGTCCTAACCCTGGGAGTGTATATTGCTAATATATTTTTATTTCTCTCCCTAGAACGTGTAAGAAAGCCATGGTCTGCATCTGAGGTGAAGGCTGTGGAGAAGACCATGACACCTTTCATACAGACTGGAAAAGTCCCTGGGAAGTCTCACTGCCTGGCCTGCATTAATGCCTCACCAGATGACCTTAGACATCGGACATGGAGTGGAATCAAATTCTATGTAAAAAATAGAATTACTGCATTAAAAAAAAAAAACGTTTCTAATCCTGTAAAAGATTTGTTTGTTTTGTATTGACTGTTTTGGAATGTTTTGTATTAAAATAGTCCCAGTAAAAAAGATCAATGCAGAGTAATTCTAAAGTGACCCCAGTAAAAAAATACAGCAAGGAGTCTGTGGGTCCCATATGGTCCCTATAACGGCCCTGTCATAGGGACCCACCAGGTCATAAAAACGTGTGTGTTGTTGTTTTATATTTATCTGCTGTATTTGTTAACTCCCTCCTGGCCCCGCCCCCTGAGGCGATACGTGTCATAAAAAAGAAACAAAGAAAAGACAAAACAGAGCCTTTAATGCTGTCAGAGGTCACAGGTCAGAGGGTGAACAGCAGGTGACCACTGAACGTGTTGTGGTGATTCGTGGTGTTGTGAATACGTTTGTTGCTCCATCTTGGATCCATTCTTCACCAGAGAAACTGTCGCTGAGTAACTTCCAGAAAAGGCTTCAAAAATATGAACATGGAAGTGGTACACTCCTCTGACTGGGGCTGTGAAGATCCCTGCAGCAGATACACAACAATACACACGACATTGCACACAACATTACACACAATATTACAGAAAACATTACACAACATTACACACAAAACAATACACACAATATACACACAACATTACACAAAACAATACACACAATATACACACAACATTACACACATTACACAAAACAATACACACAACATTACACACCTGTATGTGGGTTGCAGGCATTTCCAATGTTTGCGACATGGATCTATTATATTAACTGGATAGGGTATTACTAGCTTGTAGCTGAATAACTCATGTGCTCGGGGGATTCTTGTGGTACTGCAGACTGAACCAGACTAAATTCACGTGGGCTACCCAGAAATTTTCCCCATAGAACTCAATGCATATTAAAACAGCTCAACCTCAGCTGACAGAGAACCTACAGCTTTCATAAAGGTCGGATTTTGTGGGGATTTTAGTGTCCCTTGTCGTCCTGAACTTTTTTTCTTCTTAAATCCTTCGGTTTTGTTTAAATCCACACTTTGGTGCCACAAACTCTGCTCGTCTGGCTCTCGCTCTAACTCCCGCTCTGATGAACTGCTCTGATTGGTCAGAGCGCGGCCGAGCCCCTCTGTGCACGTGCGCGAGACCTGGTGTGAGACCCACACACGCGTGTTTGGCGCAACGCATTATGGGAGATCATCCACTGCGCAGAACCGGGAGGACCACACGATGCCCAAATACAGGCGAGTTTCCCAAAGATCTTTGCGAGTTCCAGGCGACTTCAGCTAATCTTTCAGCCCCCATGCCGTCACAAAGCGCCACTGAGCACAACCATTCATTTGAATAGGGCGCCATCTTGGATCGCCGGGGCTTGGTTTGCGACCACATGTTTGTAGGCCAGTGTAGTGTCAATACTATGAGGCCCAAAGAGCTGAGCTCCAGAATCTAGCAGAGCTGCAGAGAAGGCCACCTGCCTCACTGCAACAGAGGAACCAGACGTGGAACCAATACTAAACAAACTGCACTGAACAGTCTGAATAGAAATATTACTATTAGATCATTATAAAAAGCAGGAGAATAATACAATCATTACTTTTTCATAATAAAATGCATCTGTTTATATTTGTGCAGGTCAAATCACAAAATAGGATTGTTGATTTGGAAAAGCAGATTAAAAAATTAAACCAATCGCTTATTTTTTTTCTCTCTCTCTCCTCTCCTCTCTCCTCTCTCTCTCTTCTGGTTACGAGTGGAGTATTTTGAGTATTTTTTCTGTTTCATGTATAAGTTTTTCCCTGGATTACCGTGCGCCTGTGTTCGGAGTGTTTCGTGCACGTGTACCGGCCTCCGGGCGAGGCGTAATGCCCGGGATGGCCGGGGACAGAGGTTTGGAGCAGCTGACTCGGCGTCACGCTGTGAAGCTTATACCTGCGGCGCCCTGCCCCGTGGAGGAGGCGACACTCGCTGTGGGTAAAGAAGTGGGATACGTCCACATCAAGTCTGCTTCACGTATGAACGGAGCGGTCGTGAACTTTCTGTCCAGCACTGAGAAGGTGGTGGAGCCCGAGTAGAAGGGAGCTACCATCCAGGGCCTGTTCACCTCTGTCCTCTCTACCGCCGGGCGGGTCATCGTCTCCAACGCTCCGCCGTTTTTTAAGAACGAGACTCTAGCTACAGAACTGTCCCGGTTCGGACAGCTGGTGACACCCATTAAAATGATGTCACTGGGCTGTACGTCCCGCTGCTCAGATATGTAGTGTTCCACCGCAGACAGGTGCTGAAGGACAACTCTGAGTTAAACCTGTCCTTCACTTTTAAAGTTGATGGATTCAGTTACGTCATCTTTGCTTCGTCTGAGAACATGAAGTGTTTTGGCTGCAGCGCAGAGGGTCACCTGATCAGAGCGTGTCCAGAACGAGTGGATCAGAATGTGCCGCGTAACAACGCACAGACACCTGCGCACCTCTGCAGCCTCCGCTGAGACCAGTGCGGAGGCAGCGGAGCCAACGGGGGACGCGCCCCCGGCCCCAACACCTCCAGCTGCGAACAGCGCTGCTGAAGACCCCCCCGGGGACTTGGACACACCATTTAAAGTCACACGCAGTTTCAGTAAAAGTGTTAAATCATATTCAGCTTTAGATATAAGAACGTTTTTGAGAGACACAAAAGGAATGAGGAGTGTAAAGGTGGAAAACTATTTTCCAAACCTGAAGCTTTTCAACGAGATAGCACGGCCCCTGGTGTGGAGCTCCAGCTCTCAGGACGAGGAGGCTCTCAGACCAGGAGAGATTCAGGCTCAAGAAACTCCTGAGCAAAGTCAGGGCCCAAGTGGCCAGTGAGGGTCCCAACTGATCTCAGTATCTCACTTTGATAGTATATTTTTTTTTTCATTTTTATCCTTATGTGTGACTTTAAAATAGGAAGTTTAAATATAAATGGTCCGAGGGACAGAGCGAAGCGTGCTGCTCTGTTCCAGCTCATTCAGGTGAAGGGGGTGGATGTAGCGCTCCTACAGGAGACACACAGTACTGCAGAGATAGAGTCAGACTGGAGGAGGGAGTGGGGGGTCAGCTGGTCCTCAGCCATGGCTCCGCCTCCAGTGCAGGAGTAGCAGTGCTGTGTGTCTTCCAGTGAATGTAGAGACTGAGGAGGTGGTAGCGGGCCGCCTGCTCCTAGTACGTGCACAGATGGAGACCACTATAGTGACTTTTGTGGGTGTGTACCTGCCGTGCACTGGAGCACAGAGGCTCCTGATGATGGACACACTGTGTGACTGCATCAGGGAGTGCACAGACGTCCTGTTTGTGGCCGGGGACTGGAACTGTACAGTAGATCCACGGCAGGACAGGAACCACCGTGAGCTCCACCCTGCCTCCTCCCTCAGGCTGAGTCGGATGCTGGAGGCCCACAGTCTGGAGGACGTGTCGAGGACTCTGCACCCAGGTGTCCGTGAGTACACGTGGACAATGTTTTCTCTCTGGCCCGTTTGGACCGAGTGTATGCTTCGGGACACCAGCTGAGCATGTGCACTGCAACTCACATCAGTCCTGTGGGCATTTCTGACCACAGTTTTATTGTTTGTGTTGTTCGGATGTCTAATGTGCAGGTGGGGAGTGCTTACTGGCACTTTAACACTTCACTGCTTTTTGATAAAATCTTTGTTCGTGCTTTTATAGTGCTTTGGAAGTCCCACCTGCGGTAAGGCCCACTTTGTGAGCCTGCAGCAATGGTGGGACTATGGCAAAGTGCAGATAAGGCAGCTGTGTCAGGAGTACACTCATGGTGTCACAAGAGACAGGGCCCGGCTTGTGAAAGAGCTGGAGACTATGGTGGTAGAACTGCAGCGTTTCGCAGTCTCTACAGTAGAACGGGGGTGTTTACAGTCCCTCAAAGCACAAAAGTCGGCCTTGGCCAGCCTGCTATATGTATGGATGTACCTTCCCAGTTCTTCTTCAGTCTGGAAAAAAAGAACGGCCAAAGGAGGATCATCCAGTCTCTATGTTCGGACAGCGGTCGCCTCATCACGGACTCTGCCGAGGTTAGGAGCTTTGTCGCTGGTTTTTACGAACATTTGTTCAGCTCTGAGCTGCGTCCCAGCTCTGTCATGGGAGGCCAGTTTGGGGACGGTGTGCCTCAGGTCAGTGACGAGGAGAACAATAAGCTGGAGGCCCCACTGACTCTGGTTGAACTGAACTCTGGTGTGGGGAGTTTAAAGCCAGGCAGAGCTCCAGGCATAGATGGACTTTCGGCCGATTTTTACAAGGCCTTCTGGGACATTCTGGGGCCAGACCTTCTGGAGGTCTTTACGGACAGTCTTGAGAGCGGTCGTTTGCCCCTGAGCTGCGGCAGAGCAGTGTCCACTTTGCTCCCAAAGAAGGTTGATCTGCAGCTGTTAAGGAACTGGTCTCGCTGCTCTGCACGGACTATGAAATCCTGTCCAAGGTGTTGGCGTCCCGGGTGAGAGGGGTCATGGCCTTGGTCATCCACATGGACCAGACTTACTGTGGGCCCAGCAGGCTCATAGGGGATAACATCGCCCTGATCAGCGATGTTTTGGAGGTATCCGGCTCATTGGGAGTCAACCTGGGACTGATTTCCATAGACCAGGAAAAGGCGTTTGACCGGGTTGAACACCAGTACCTTTGGCAGACCAACGCCTCCAGGTCTGAACAACACTTTTATATCAACAAACCTTTGTCGTTGTTTTAGAGGGAGTCCACTTCTGTCTTTGTGGCTCTAGAGGAAAGAAAACTGTCAGAGCTGAAAAGCACAGCCTGCGTCTTTAATCATGTCAAAGTGCAATGGCACATCTGACTCTGACAGGTGCAGTCTCCACACACACTTCAAACTTCAAAAGGAAGAAAAAAAACTCTTGCACACTTTGCTTGCTTACACCAGTCATTTTTTATTTTTTATTTTTATCTGTAAATAATAAAAATAAAAAAAACACTGGTGGCTGCAAGTTGGGGCCAGGACTCCCCTGAAAATGACATTCTGAGACTTTCCTGGCTAAATAGGTCCATGCATAAACAGAACATAAACACAACTTCATTCATGGCTACCATTAAATTATGTTCAACACATGATTCAGAAGATATTTACCCTGGTTTTCCTGCTGCAGATGGTTGTTTTCCTCCTGCAGATGTTTGATCTCCACTTTGTTCTCCTGGTTCTCCTGCTGCAGATGTCTGATCTCCACTTTTTTCTCCTGGTTCTCCTGCTGCAGATGTCTGATCTCCACTTTGTTCTCCTGGTTCTCCTCCTGCAGATGGTTGATCTCCTCCTGCAGATGTCTGATCTCCACCTGCTGTGCAGACAGTGCCGCGCTCATCTCTCACAGCACTGAGTCAATATCAGACAGACAGAGCTCAGAAGACTCAGACTTTTGTCCAGAATCATTCAAACAATTCCCCTCAAAGAGAAAAAAGGAACTCAGCAGCAGCACCAGGAAACCAACCGTGTCCATGGTCCACTGGAGGAGTGAGGAGGTGTGAGGAGGTGTGTGGGCTGCAGCTGGTTTTAAACCCTTTCACTGCTAATGGCCAAGAACACTGTTGTATCTCATTTACATTTCTACATAAGAACAGATGTTATTTATCCACCGTTCACACAAGTTTATGTAACACACAACACATGTTACACACAACACGTATTACACACATTGGACCTCATTTATGAAACTAGCGCAGAAAAGTGTGTATATATTTTTGGTGTAGCAAGATCCAACGTGGGATTTATGAACATGTGAGATCCAGACGTTAGCACCTTCTGCTGTTCATAAATGCTGCGGTGAAAACTAGCGTATTTATGAAAGTCATGCCTATAAATATTCAGAAACCGTGGGGAACTCTTTGTCTCTGAAGATGGAGGCTGTGGATGTGACTGACTCTGCTGTGTACTACAAAATTGAACTTTTTGGATGAATTAATAACGTTATGTATAATACAAACCTAACACTGTTCAAAGCACCATCCCCAGTGTCAAATATGGTGGGGGTAACATCATGTTCTGGGGCTGCTTTTTATCACTGGGGACTGGGAAGATTGTAGGAATTGCTGGGAAGATGGATGGAGTCAAAAACATTTGGAAGGAAAACCTGCTAAAGTCAGCAGGAGAATTAAGGCTGGGGCAAAGCTTTACCTTCCAGCAGGACAATGACCCTGAACACAAAACTAAATCTACTATAGAACCAAATATATCAATGTGTTAGAACGGGCCAGTCAAAGTCCAGACCTATATCTAATAGAAAATCTGTGGAAAGACCTTAAAGCTGCTGTTAACAAACAACAGACTGGGACTGGTCCAGACCTATAAAAGCGTGTGCGTGTGCGTGCGTGTGTTTTCTCATTTGAACAGAAATCTGTGGGAGGAGCACACGAAGACAAAACGCTTATAATTTCAGAAACTTTTTCTGTAAACACGGAGTTAGCTCAGTAAATGTGTGCGTCCATATGAATGTAGTCAATACGCCTGAAAACGCTGTGAAACTATGCCAGACCTGTTGGTGGCGCTGTGACGCAATGACGGGATCAAGCCCAAACTTCCGTGGGCATGCGCGGTATTTTGTAAACAGACAACATGGCGAGTGGGCGAGCTGGTACTACATTAGTATGGAGGACGATGAGGTTGAACTGTTGCTTCGGGTCACACTGGATTACAAAACCAACAAGCTACATTGTTGTTGTCATTATTTTCTGAGTGCGGCGCATGCGTGCTTTAACAAGAGGCGGGGCGATGACGCAAGCGTCTCAGATACATTGCGGAGAGGCAGTAACCACGGAGCGGCATATACGGAGAAGAGAATAAGGAATAACAAGACCATAGCGACTCACAACAAGGACAAAGCAGACCATGTGTTAGCACTAAACTTCAAAACAATAACTTTCTTTGTTTAGTGAGTCAAAAATCACAATAGCATTTGTCTTGAAGGGTCTAGTTTACAGGATTACAGGTTGCAGACTGGAACTGGTTATCGGGTCTCATAAAATCTCATGAAAACATGCATAAAACCGAGGACAATCTGTGAATAGCATTTTAAAGATAAAAAGTTATCGTCAAACTGGACCCAGATTCCAGGCTCAGTATGAAAGATGAGAGCAGCTCTATTAACTCTATTAAAAAAACTTGTGGATGTACAGTGAACTAGAAACAGTAAATATTAGTGTTAAAAGTTATTCACAGTGGTCCTTTATACATTACAATCATTGTGGGAACTTTATTACATACCAAATAGAATGTTATTAATACACATTTATATTTTTACTATCCATTTGGGGACTTCATCAACTCACATGTTTCCCGGTATGACCTTATATGATGTACAGAGTGCAGACTGGATTGATCCACAGGTTTAGAGAAATCTAGGGTGTGGACAGAGGTTAGTCCATCGATCTAGAATCAAGGTTTGAGACTGGGACTGGTTCACAGGTCTAGAGTCCAGGGTGTAGACTCCCAGTCTGATCTTCTGGTCTCCTCATCGGGTGTAAGAAACTGACTGACAGACCATGAGTTAATAGACAAGTAAAAGTGGAACTCGACACAGATGTCAGACAAAGTAGGAAAGAAGTGAACAGCACTATTCATCCTGCAGCCTGTGGATGTGTGACGAGGTAAAAACACAGTTGTGGATGTGCACAAATACACAGTGAACTAGAAAACAGTTATTATTAGAGTTAAAGTGATCATAGTGGTCTTTTTTACAGTACAATCCTTGTGGAGCCCTTATTACACACTAAATATAATGTTATATATGAACAGATTTGTACTATCCATGTGGACTTCTTACACACATGTTCCTAGACATGTCTTTATGAAGATCTTGCAGTAGCAGCACTTGACCACTAGGGTGAACACACTTCTCAGCCTGATACAGGAAATGACAGGTGTGAGCACAGAGCTGAGGACAGCAGACTGTAAGAGAGCAGCACACACTGAGAGGATCTGAGCTTTAAGATGGAGTGTGTCCTGTGTCCACTGCTCTCAGCTCTGCTTGTGCTGCTGAGTTCTTCTCCAGAGTGTAACGGACAAGACACAGTGAAGCAGGCAGCAGGAGAGGACCGAGTGAGAGAGGGACACACTCACCTGCAACTTTACAACAAGCTCCTACTCAAACTACTACTTGTACTGGTACAGACAGAAAGATGGTGATTCTCCAAAGTACATGATGCAGCGAACCACATTTGGAAGTGGAAGTAACTCTCCAGAGTTTGATGAATCCAAGTTTGGTGCTGAGCTCGTGGGGAACTCTTTGTCTCTGAAGATGGAGCCTGTGGATGTGACTGACTCTGCTGTGTACTACTGTGCTCTGCGGCCCACACTGACAGGAAACACCAACACTCTGAACAAAAACCTCTGCAGCAAAGACAACACAATAGTGCAGTGTCTCCACTAGAGGGCGACACTCTCTGACTCCTCAACAGGAATGTTCAAACTACTTCATGGTTTGTATAGTTTTCAAAGGCCTCGACATTTGGTCCAGTTCCATTTGGATCTGGTCCCAGATCAGTGAATGTTCAAACTACTTCATGGTTTGTATTAGTTTTCAAAGGCCAGGATCGAGGAGTCCTACAGGCCAGGTGAATCTCAATGATGGTTCATTCTGGTCCAGAAAGTCTTTTGATTCACTGGATCTCCTGAAGCTTGGATAATAACAGAAAAGTTAAAAGTTGGGCCTTTTCTAATGACTGCTGAATGTTTACACTTTATGGTAATGATTAAATAGTGTGTAATCTACTCTCAGTATAAAACATTTGTTCTGTGAGGGCCTCAAAGTTGTGGTCAGAGTGTATTGGTCACTAAACATCATGAGGCCCAGGAGCACAACAGAGAGGTCAGGGATACAGTTGTGGAGAAGTTTAAAGTAGCATTAAGTTATATCAGGATTCCCAAGATTGGAACATCTTACGGAGCACTGTTCAATCCATCATTCAGAAATGTAAAGAATATGACACCACTGCAAACTTACCAAGACACAGCTGTCCACCTAAACTAACAGATCGAACATAGACAGCACTGGTCAGAAAGACAACCAAGTGTCCCAAGATGACTCTGGAGGAGCTGTGAAGTACTGATGCTGAGCTGGGGGAATCTGCTTGGTGCTGCTGAGTTCTTCTCCAGAGTGTAACGGACAAGACACAGTGAAGCAGGCAGCAGGAGAGGACGAGTGAGAGAGGACACACTCACACATCATCTGCCAACTTTAGAACCATCTCTTCTTATCCTGACTCTGTTCTGACAAGTACAAGCAGGAAGGACGAGGTGCTCCAAAGTACATGATGAGATCTATTCGGGAAACGTAATAAAGTCTTCCAAAGAGTTTGATGGATCCAAGTTTGGTGCTGAGCTCGTGGGGAACTCTTTGTCTCTGAAGATGGAGGCTGTGGATGTGACTGACTCTGCTGTGTACTACTGTGCTCTGCGGCCCACACTGACAGGAAACACCAACACTCTGAACAAAAACCTCTGCAGCAAAGACAACACAATAGTGCAGTCTCTCTACTAGAGGGCGGACACTCTCTGTGAAAGTCAGAGTCAGACGCTGAAAAACCAACTGTCAGTGTGAGAAACTCAGCAGATCCACAGAGTTCACATGAGGAAACACTCAGCTGTGCTCTTTCACATCATTTTGAGACTGTTCTAACTTATAAAAGCACTTCATGAAAAGTCTGGTAGATTATTTCTTGTTTGAAGACGGACCAGACACTTAAAGACACCAAAAGCAGTGAAACCATAAGAGCATAACCACTCATAACGAGGACAAAAGTAGAGAGGGTTCAGTATCAGCCCCATGTGATGTTACCAATTCATATAAAGTACAGACTGGGACTGTTCCTTTCCTCAGACTCTTTTACATTTAGCTCTTCATCAGTCTAGAGAAGTTTAATTACAGGGTGCAGACTCATATTACTGTTTTTTTCAGTTCAATTTATTTTGTTGCTGTATAGGCAGGGCTCTTAAGTAACACAAAACATTCGTAACAAACTGTGGACTTGACAATTGTTGCCAATACAACCCAACAGAATCCTTTCCCGAAACGAGGAGGACGTAATGGCCCGGTAAAAAGGGCCGCCATTTTTAAAAGTTACCTTCGAAGCCAAAAGATCCAGATCGCGTTGCCTTCAAGAAAACCCAATTGATAAGCCGTGACAAAACTCCGCCTAGAAAACAAGTTTTTTAAAGTTGCAGCTTTTTCCCTGCCAGAACAAAACAAAAAAGGGGTGTGCAATTCTCGTCATCGTAATTTACAATTCAAAAAAACAGGTTGGATATTGGTCCAAAAAACAAAGGCAGGGTTGTGGTCTTTAATTCAAATAGAGAGGACAAATCTGGCCT